TGCTGTATTTTCCCTAGGCCTAGCTCGCCTTGTCTCTCTTATAGCGGCCAAAGCAGAGGCTGCCATTTCCCGCACTCTTGAAGTGGGCTCAGACATAATGGCGGCGACAGGAACACGTGTTGTTACAACAAGCCTACTGTCCCTACGTAGATCCTCGAGATATTCCGGACGGGGAAACTTCATTTTCGACATTTTGTTAAAATCTCGTTCCTATATAAGATATCTTATTTAGTAACGAGACTTTAATTATATAAGATATCTTATATAGCTATATGAGATATCTTATATAGAAAATTAAATGAGATATCTTATATACGATATAAGATATCTTATATATCATATAAGATATCTCATATACTATATAAGATATCTCATATACTATATGAGATATCTTATATACGATAAATAAGATATCTCATATGCTACATAAGATATCTTATATAATTTTTTGAAATACAGGATCGACATTGCTCCTTGAATAAATGTTAAGTTGGTTTGCCATAGATCTTTGTTTCATTTGTCGAAATAGTATATGTTTTGTTGTTTATTTACATAGCATTATGAACATCGATCATAGGCGAAAGACCACTTTTACTCAAATTTAATCTGTGGTATGAAATATTTTTTTCAAATTTTCCATTACGTTATTTTTAAATCAAACCCGTATTAAGAGATCTCTTGAAAAAATCTGACCATCATATGGACTTGTCTATGTCTGACATGTGATTATAATCAAAACAAAGTATTAAAGATAACATGTCTGTCAAATGTTTATTTTCACTGTATTACATTTAATAAGGTAACTTGGTCCTCTCCAGTAATAGCAGTGAGCTGTATTGCCAACAATTAATCTGAAAAAGAAGATATATTTAATTAAATCTAAGAACCTACATAAGAACTAAATCAGTGCGCTATAAATTGTATAGGACGCTTAAAATTCCGGAACGTGTTATGCTCCTGTCCAGAAATCTCCATGGTTCTTCGTTCATGTTTTGTTAACATTTAGTTTTTTTTTCATTAACGTAATTACTATTTCAATTTTCTATAGGAATATTATTCGACATTGAAACTTGTATCACAATCTTCGGTCATTCAAGGTTACTTATTTGTGTGTACATACGTTTAGGTTTGCTGTTAGATTTACTTTTGCTGTTAGATTTACTTTTGCTGTTAGATTTACTTTTGCTCTTAGATTTGCTCTTGCTGCTGCTGCTTCCACTGGAACTACTGCTGCTACTCCCACTACTGCTGTCTCCATCCACGATAATCACTACAATATAAATTATTGCATATTTATTATGGTGATTAGACAAAAAGTTTTTGTATGGTATTCTCTAGAATTCATGATCAAATAGTCAGACGAAATTAATAAATTGATAAAAGGAAAAAAGAATACAAAAAAGGGAGAGAAAACAAAAATGAATAAATAAAAAGAAACTATTTAAAAAAATATTTTTATTGCTTATGGAATTATGAAAAATTAAGTAATCAATATTTTATTTATCAAAAACTATTTGAATGATTTTGACGATTAAGGAAAACAAATTAAATAGTAATGTTTATTCCAATATTGTAAAATATGAATGTTCTTGGTT